CAGAGGCTAGAGTGTGGGTCTAGCTACAGAGTTCAGATTTTTATCTTAATAGGTAATGAGGAGCTATGAAAGAATTTTCAGCAGGGAGTGACCTGTGCAATTTGCCCTTTAGAGAGATGTCTCTGGCGGAACGTGGAGGGTAGATTGAGAAGGCAAGGATGGGGTGGGGGAGATGTCTCCTGAGGTTAGCGCAATCCTCCAGGCCAGCCAGGGTGAATGGATGACCAGAGGCAAAGAGAGCAGAGATGGTGATAGGGGATTCAACCCCAGGCAGGAAATGGGTCAGTGCTCCTACACGGGGACTGTGCACAAAGCCTGCTCTTGGCTCTTCCTTTCCTCCCGCCGGCATCCTCTGCACATTCAGGGCCCCAGACAACCCCCGGCAGCTGGCAGGATGGGTCTGGAGGGGCTCTTCCCCGTCTGCCTGCCTGCCTCCTTGCCTCAGGCTCCCGATCCTTGGCAAAGTGGGGCAGGGAAAGCCGAACAGAGAAGCCTCTCCCTTGCCATTCAACTCCTAGGTCTCCCTTATTTATTCCACGCTCTCTCCGTTCGGGTCCTCTCATTATTTCTGAGCTGTACAGCTTGCTGCTTTCCTGGCTCGGGTTCTCCCACCCCTGTCTGCAAAGTGTCAATCAAGCCATCGGATGAGCAGCTCAGCTTCACATCCTCAGCGTCTCTGCCCCAGGACACGAGCGGCAATTGCTGACACACACAAGCAGCAAGGTGTAGGGCTGCTGGCTCTCCCTTTAATAGTCTTCCCATCCAGAATGGGTGTTAAAATGGAATTTGAGGGGATCGCTTCTCTCTGCCTGCTCCTGTCAGGACATCCACAAGGACGGGCAACCCTGAGAGAAGGGGAAGCCTTCAGAAGTCGATTTGCTTTTCATTTCAAGGTTGGGCCGTGGCCAGTGTCTGCTTTCGGAGGAGCTGTTTGAAATTCTTAACAAGAAGCAGAATGCTTGAGTCCAGGAATCCAGGGCAGGCTTGTGAAGTAGGGATGGGAAATGGAATTGTCATTTTATCTCTGAAGGGATATTATATTAAACAGGGGCGGGGGGAGAAACAGAGCGCTTTGCAGCTTCCCTGGAGGACCTAGGAATGAACAATAAGAAGCGTCAGGGGCAGCAGGAAGAACTGAGATCAGAACAAAGAAAGAACTTCCCCAGGCTTTGGAAGCTGGTGACCAGGGAGGTTTGAAGCATGTGCTTCCCAGGAGAATTTCTCCTTTTACAAATGGTGAATGAAAGCACCGTTTTTATAGAATACGGAACTAATGAGCATTAGCTCAATGACCTCGCCAGATTCTATTTAGATCTTTGATAACACACACCGCACACATGGTTGCAATCAGTGTGTGTCTATTTGTGTGCTGTGTCTCTCTCTTTGTCTCTTTTTTTGGAGGGATAGGTGGGTRCTGGGGATTGAACTCAGGGRCACTCGACCACTAAGCCACATCCCCAGCCCTATTTTGGCTTTTATTTAGAGACAGGGTCTCACTGAATTGCTTAGTGCCTCACTGTTGCTAAGGCTGGCTTTGAGCTTGAAATCCTCCTGCCTTAGCCTTCCGAGTCACTGGGACTACAGGCATGCACCACGGCGCCCGGCTCTCAGTTTCTTCTCATATATATATTTCCACAAAGCACCAGTCYTCACACTTGTCATTAGGAACAGCTACATAGTATTCCATTGCATCAAAATATGCCAGAGTTTGTTTAGCTTATGCCTATTGTTGGGCTGTTTCCAATTTTTTTTTCTACTATAAAAGCAAAGACATGCATGTCTTCCTACAAATGCCCTTCTCTCCCCTTAGGGGACAGTTCCTCAAGTAGATTTTCTAGGTCAGATGCTTGAACCATTTCACCCTTATTATTGTGCTTTGCCCCAGTTCCTTGTACAAGACCCGGGCAATCTGAGTCCTACTCTATCTCTATCCCCATAGCCTGGACAATGTCAGATTATGACATTTTTATTTATTTTTGTTTATTTAATAGGCACATGATAGTACCTTGAAGTTATTTAATTCCCATTTCTTTCATTGCTCATGAGACTGRGCACACTTCCATGTAAGGATTTATAGTCTGCTTTTCCTTCTGTGTAAACTGTTCATCTCCTCTGACATCTTATCAAGAGAAATCCGGGGGCTGATCTTATATATTTCTATCAAGACTTTACATACTTACTGTGGTATATTTTTCTTGGTTATATGTGCTATTTTTTACTCTAAGGGAGCAGTCCAATTGTGAGGTAGATGCTATCCTGTCCCATGTGGGGTGGAGGTGGCATGAAGTTGAGATGACCTTTATAGACTTTAGATTGATTTTTTTATTAGGAAAAAAAGAGAGAAAAGCCAGTCAGATGATATCGCCTTCCTGGGATTTTACTTTCCTACGGAGGGGAGGGCTGGACTGAGAGGACAGCTTGTTGCTAAGGCTACTCTGGGGGATTCTTTGTAGAATGAGAAGTGTTGCTGAGGGCTTCAGTGGACCACTGTGCTGAGACTGGTCAGCTCCCTGTAGTCATATGGGCTTCCTGGATGACTCTTTCCTCCCACTCACCGTATGGCCATGAGAAAAATGGTGAAAGAGTGAAATTGGAATCATCACTCCAAGCTGTGACTAATTTTTAGTATAGCATAGTGGTTAAAGGAACAAGTTCTGGAGCAGACAGAACTAAAGTCATAGCTCAGTGYCCATGTACACCAGGTGTATGGCTTTGGACAAAATATTACCTAAGCCCCACTATCTTTGACTGTGAAGTGGTGTTTCAGTGATGGCTGTGTAAAAAACCACCCCCCAGAACTTAGTGCCTGAAAACAACCATCATTTTATTCTACCTCATGATTTTGTGAGTCTGAAATTCCAGTGAGGCTTGACTGAGTGCTTCCTCTGCACACATAGCATTGAGAGGCCACTCGGTGGTAGTTAGCTGGTGGCTAGGCTACCTTGGGAAGTCCAAATGGCTTCCCCCTTCTGTCTGGCTCTCTATGTAGCCTGGGGCCTCTTTACCTGGTATCCTCTACAGGATGGCTGGATTTCTAACATGGCAGCTCATAGATCCAAGACAAGAAGAGGAAGCTGCCAGTATCTGAAGGTCTAGGCCACAGTTTGGCTCCCACCATGTTCTACTGACCAAATAGTCCCAGGGAATGTGATGGGAGGGGTGAGGAAGAACTTGGGGCCATCTGTAATCTGGGGATAAAGATACTTACTCTTCGGACTCTGAGGAGTCAATGAGATAATGCATTCAGAGGCAGATTTTCCATGAAGTAAAGGAAGCTCCAACCAGAGGGTTCCTTGATTGAATGGTCTTTTCCAAGTCCTGGCACCTAATTTGGTATTCATAATTTTTCTTTTTCTTTTTCTTTCCTTCCTCTTTCCCTTTCTCTCTCTTTCTTTCTTTAGCTGGGCATTGAGCCTGGGAACTTGAACATGTTCATCCCATGCTCTACCACTGAGTCCCACCCCCAAGTCCCTTTTTTACTTTTTCTTTAAGAGGTCCTGTCACTATAGAAGAGATTTCTCCAAAGAAGGGTCTGAGGAGTTTCCAGAGCAAAGGGGAAGGGATCTTGACTCAAGACCAATGGGGTTCTTGGAAAATGTGAAGGAAAAGAATTTCAGCATGTGACATTTGTCAGTCAAAGGCAGAGACAGAGGTTTATTTAGGGAGAATGGGGGCAATCCCAAGAGAGAGACATGCCTTTAGGGTTAAGCAAGGAAAGGTATTCAAAGGAGAATTTGAAGCCCCGTGTGGTGGCACACCTGTAATCTCAGCGGCTCAGGAGGCTGAGGCAGGAGGATTGCACGTTCAAATGTAGCCTCAGGAATTTAGCAAGACAATATCTAAATTTAAAAAAAAAATTAAAAAGGGTTAAGTGGTTAAATTCAATCCCTCCTACCAAAATTTAAAAAAAAAATAAAAAAAGGAGAATGCGGGCCACCTACAGAGGGAGAGACAATAACCCATTAGCCCAGGGTGTTAATATTTATAGAGGGCCTGTGCTAGGGGCTGGACTAGGGGTGGAGCCAGGTGGAATTACAATTTCATGCCAATTTTCCCTTCGAGTGGGCATTTCCCTCATGTTACAAGGGCATGGGTCAAGGGCACAATTGTTCCAGGGTGCTTTATGAATTTCAATGGTTCATGGATGTTTCCTGAATTTCAATGGCTTATGGGCATTTCCTTTGAGACTCAGTATCTCTCCATTTATTCCCAAATTCCTATTTCAGAATTCCAAATTGTGTAAGAATCAGGACCAATAAATCCTAGCTCTGTCTTGATGCCTGTAACAGTGCTTACTTAGCACGCTGCCTGGCACGGGGGACTCTCCATACAGACCCCCTCTATGTGCTAGGCCAGTGACTGGTTCCCTTTCTGTGCCTGAGAAGAGGGCTCCTCCTCTCACTCTGTCCTTTCCACTTGTTCAGGACCATTTATTCTCTTTTTTTTTTTTTCAACATGAAACTAAAACATGCTGAGAATAATTTCATAATCACAAAGCTGCCCTCCCAATTGGCCCCTGCTTCTACCCCCTGACCTCCCCACCTATCAKGGAGGTGGGCCTTACCCTGGGCATCCTGCCAAGTTCTTAGCTGGCCCTGCAGAATTTCTAAAGGAAATCAGGCCGAGGAGAGGAAAGCCAGCAGGGGGAGGCAGCATTCCCGGTGCCCAGCTTGGTCTAGGAGGCATTGAAATTCCAGGGCCGAAGTCCTGAGACAAAGATCATAATGAGACAGGAAGGTGGCATAGGAAGGAGCCCATTTGCATGACAATAATTGAGCCAAGAATAGAAAGCTAGAGGGATGCAAGGGTGAGGCTGGCAGCTGAGCTGGGCTAAACCTCACAAATCAGACCATCCAGCTCTGCTCTGCCAGCGGGGCGGAGGCTAAGCCCTGTGCCAGGCTTTGGGGGAGGGAGGAGGAAGGAGCCGGACACAGCCCCAGGGGATTGTGGGAACACTGGCCAAGCTGGACTTTGCCTTCCTGCTCTCCCTGCAGCCTGGTGCTGCCTTTGTTTGCCGTCTCCTCCGTGGGCTCTGTGGCCGGAGGGCTAAGTGGGCATCATGGGTACTCAGAAAGTTCTCTGGGATGCCATTGTGATGGGGGCAGGCATCCAGGGCTGCTTCACTGCGTACCACCTGGCCAAACACGGGAAAAGAGTCCTCCTGCTGGAGCAGGTACTGTGTCCTTTCTGCCCTTCGGACCTTAAGGACTGTGTCTCTCTCCTCTCCTAGGGAGGGCTTCCCAGAGCCAAGAGGTTATGAGTGAGGCCAAAGGACCCCAAATGTCACAAATTCTGGGCAGTCTGTAGTTGAGATGCTAATATTGTGTTTCATAACGATTCAAAGTTCCACTTTCCCTCAACCCCTGCAGGCCTTCCAGGTACATTTCTTCCTTTTACTGTCTCTTGGTTCCTACTCACGACTGAGAAGTATCCCAGGCTGTGTTCTTTTTATTCCTGTTACCCAGTCTTTTGTGCCCAAATGGTTGATCCAGCCCAGAAACATAATCAGTTCTGCTCTGGGTAACCTTAAGTAAAGATAATTTTGCCTAGGGGCAAGGGTTGATGTTTTAGTCAAAGAGGTAGGATTGTTTCTTGCAATTTTATCAACTTCTTATCCCCAAACCCAGCAGAAGCTTCTATCTATTCTGCCTCCTCTGAGTAGTAGTGAGATAGGAATTTGGGGATACAGGAGAAAGAAAGATCAACTAAGTCTCAGAACTGAAGCTCCATGAATCCTTGGAATTCAGGGAATGCCCATGAATCTTTGAAATGCAAAGCAGACAACCTATGAGCCACCCAGCCCCTGCCCTTGGCCCATGCTTGTTAAGAAGTAACATAGTGGGGGCAAGGTGCAGGTGCTACAAAAACTGGCACGAAGTGGGTGTGTTGCACAAACCAGGAATCCCAGAGGYTGACGCAGGAGGATGGCAAATTTGAGGTGAGCTTCAGCAATTTAGCAAGACCCTGTCTCAAAATGAAAAATAAAAAGGACTGGGGTTGTAGCTGGGTGGTAGAATGCCCCTGGGTTCCATCCCTAGTACTGCCAAAAGAGAGAGGGGGTAGGGAGGAGGTAAAACTGACATGAAATTGTGTAATCGCCCTCACTCTACTTCTAGTTCAGCCCCTAGCTACTGTTCCTTTATAAATATTAACAGACTAAGAGGTTGCTGACTCTCCCTCTGGAGATGGCCCATATTCTCCCTTGAATGTATGTATATTCCTTGCTTTACCCCAAAAGACCTCTCTCTCTTGAGATGGCCCTGCGTACTCCTTTGAATTTGTATCTGCTTCCTAAATAAATCTGGGTCTCTGACTAGTACATGCTGAAATTCTTCTCCATCATGTATGCCAAGGACCTCACTTGTCCTGAGTGGAGGTCCCCCTTCCCGGGAACTACTCCGGTGACAATAGCAGCCTCCTTGCACAGGGTAAGATGCACAGGAATATGATGCACAGATCTTATTTTTCCTTAAAGGAAAGGTGACCCTATGCAGTGCTGTCCACAGTAACCACTGCATATGTGGGTGGACTCTGCGTGTCTGCAGGGTCCTTGGGAGTGGAGTGCAGGCCCACCATGCGAAAGGCTCTGCCTCACTGGGTTCTCCCTTGCCATTCTGCCTACAGCTCTCCAGCTGGTTAGGGTGTACTTTTCTTGGTAATGAGCTGAGTAGTTAGAAATCTTCATTTCTCTATCAGTTTGCTCATAGCCCAAGGGATTCCTGGTTCATCCTCTCAGGAAACTCTCATCTTTTACTAAATCCCAGGATAGTTCTCCTATCCTGAGTGATCTGAAGCCACAGAGAAATAGTCAGCATTGTTTCCCTTATCCATAAAACGAGGGGGGGGGGCTAGATTAGAATAATCTGGAAGGTTTTTTTCTAATTCTGCTTTTCTGTAAGTCCAAGTGGATGAGATTGTAGCAAGACAACTGGAGACCAGCTAAAAAAGGGATTTGTGGAATGTGAATGATGTTTGCAAAAAGAATGACGAGTTTCSTGTTACTGGAGAACTTCTACTTTAATCACCAAGGCAGTAGATTCCCAGCCATTTGGGAGGCTGAGGCAGGAAGATCGTGAGTTCAAAGCCAGCCTCAGCAATTGAGCAAGGCTCTAAGCAACTTAGCGAAAYTCTATCTCAAAGTAAAACATAAAAAGGGTTTGGGTTGTGGCTCAATGGTTAAGAGCCCCTGGATTTAACCCCAAGTACTAAAAAGAAATAAAAAAAAAAGATGGCTGGGGTTGAGCCTCAGTGGTAGAACACTTGTCTAGCAAGTGTGAGGCACTGGGTTCGATTCTCAGTACCACATAAAAATAAATAAATAAAGATATTGTGTCCATCTACAACTAAAATTTTTTTAAAAAGAGAGAGAGAATTTTATTGATTTATTTTGATACTGGGGATTGAATCCAGAGGCACTTAACCACTAAGCCACATCCCCAGCTCTTTTTTGTATTTTGATTACAGATAGGATCTCACTGAGTTACTTGGGGCCTCACTAAGTTGCTGAGGCTGGCTTTGAACTTGTGATCTTCCTGCCTCAGCCTCCTGAGCCTCTGGGATTATAGGTGTGTGCCACTGTGCTCACCCAGCTGAGAGAKAATTCGAAAAGCTTGTATGAAAATATTTGAAGAATAAGTGGCTCGTGTTTGACAGCACAGGATGAGATGGGCCCTAAAGAGGGATGTAGCATCAGAGGCAATGGCTTCCTTTGTCTCCACTTCCAGTTCTTTCTTCCACACTCCCGAGGAAGCTCCCATGGACAGAGTCGCATAATCCGAAAGGCCTACCCTGAAGACTTCTACACTAAGATGATGGATGAGGGATACCGGATTTGGGCCCAGCTGGAGCAGGAGACTGGAACCCAGCTGCACAGGTGGGCAGGGGAGGAATTCCTTGAATCAAGGGGCCCCATACCAGGAAGTGCTTTTAACTTGTGAAAAGGAAGAGTATGAACATTTGAAATGCAGTGGGTGAGATGCAGGTGCCAGTCACCTGGAAGAATTCAGTACACTGTCGTTATCATCCCACAGGTCCAACTGGCTCCTGCCAAATTCTGAGTTCTAGGAATGGGTTAGACCTTGGGTCCAAGGCCAACAGAGCTTGAATTAGGAAAACTGTTGGAGAGACACAGTGGGCAGATACCCAGAGTTGGGCAGGCCTGTTTGGCACCTGATGGACTTTGTATTTATACTTCTACGAAGTTCTCTTGTAGGGTTGTGGTTTAAGTAGAGGCTGAGGCTGCTTTCTTGATCCTTATTTTATTTTTAAACCAAGGATTAAATCCAGTGGCACTTAAGTACTGAACCACATCCTCAGCCTTTTTAWTATTTTATTTAGAGACAGAATCTTGCTAAGTTGCTTAGGGCCTCACTAAGTTGTTGAGGCTGGCTTTGAACTTGTGATCCTCCTGCCTCAGCCTCCTGAGCCTCTGGGATTAGAGGTGTGCGCCAATGCTACCAATGTTTTATATGCACTGTAGTATCCTAACTTTTTATGCTGGATCCTCAACCTCCCATCAAAACCCTATAAACTTGGGGCTGAGATTGTAGCTCAGAGGTAGAACGCTTACCTAGGATGCGTGAGGCACTGGGTTCAATCCCCAGCGCCACATAAAAAAAATAAAGGTATTGTGTCCATCTAGACCAAAAACAAAACAAACAAGCAAAAAATCCTATAAACTCATTTCATTCTCTCTTAATATCACCTCCCAAATGAACATGGGGTGCTCCTTATGCCAGAATGTTTGCCAGGAGTGGCTTGAAGCTATTATTTCCCTGTTGCTCCTGTGGCTCTCTCTAACCCTTAGGACTCGTTCCTTGCTGACCTTCTCAAACAATCCAGGGGGAGAAAGCAGAAAACCTGTGATGCAATGGGAACTTTGACCACCCTTGCCTCCCCTCTGGCCTCCTCTGTGATTCTCAGCTGAACTTCCTTTACATAACCCTGGCTCTACCCCCACAGGATGGCAGTTATTTTAATGGCCAGGAACCAAAAGGTTACTGTTCTGTTGCAAAAACACCATTAACTTAAGAGAAGTGAAATYCATTATGCAAATACAGCCAGGGCAGCTAATGAAGGACTTATTCAGAGGCAGCTAATGCACCCAGCACCCAAATAAAGGAGCATGTCTTGCTGAGGGGTGGCCTGGAAATGGAACCCTTCCCTGGCAGTCATCTTTGAATACTGCTGAGTGTCTTGGGCTAGGAGAAATGCCCGAGGCCTTGGAGGGTACAGTTCTTCCCAGCGGAGGACCAAGGGATGTCTAGCAAATGTAGATGTCTAGCAAATGGAGTCTTTTAGAGGAAGACATTTTCGGAGCCTGACAGCTTGGGTTTGACTTTGTGCTCTAGGTCTTACCYGCTATATGATTTTGGAAAAGTTTCTTCACTTCTCTTTTCTCATGGAGCTTTCTGAAGATTAAATGACACTTTTGTGAAGTTTCCTAGCAACTTTCAATAACTGATGGTCCTTTTTACCTATTCTGGGTCAGCCATATCCTGGGTCCATTGTGCAATAAAGGAAGAAGGATGGGAGGAGTTAAATGCAGTGACAAACACCTGTAATCCCAATCTACTCAGGAGGCTGAGGAGGGATAATTGCAAAATTTGAGGCCAGCCTTGGCAATTTAGGCCCTCTTAAAAACAAAACAAAACAAAACAAAAAAAGATACAAGGTCTCAATGGTAGAACACTTGCCTAGCATGCATGAAGCTCTGGGTTCCATTCCAGCACCTAGAAACACAAAACACAAAGGAGACAAAAGGGAAGACAATCACACAGCCACAGGAATGACTGCAGAAGACAGGAAAAAGGAACCCTTGGATAGGAGATTCCCATAATCTCATAATCCTCTTAATTGGCAGGTGAGGGATTTGGAAGGACTTTGGAACCAGTCAGGCCTATTTCTAAATCTCAGCTCTTATGTACTTAGCTGTGTGGTTTGAGAGTAAGTTGTTTAGCCTCTGTGAGACTCAGTTTTCTCACTTGTAAAATGGGGATAATAAGTTTTCTCACTTGTAAAGTGAGGATAATAATATCTATTCCATGGAGCTGTTGTGAGGATAAGTATATAATGGATTTAGAAAAGTACCCGGAAAATCGTCATCATCTTCACCATTTATTAATTTAGAAATTATGGGCTGTTCATCCCTAATCTGAAAATCCAAAACCCAAAATGCTCCAAAATCTGAAACTTGATTTGAGCACTAACATGACACTGTAAGTTGGAAATCTGACACCTGATTTTATGTGATTGGTCAGTCAAAACGCAGGAGCACTAAAACTAACTTTAGGTTTTGTGCATAAGGTGTATATGAAACATAACTGAATTATGGGTTTGGACTTGRGTCCCATCCCCAAGACATCTCATTATATGAAAATGGCCCCAAATCCAGAAGAATCTGAAACACATCTGATCCCAAGTATTTTGGATAAGGGAAACTTGCCCTGAATACAAAACTCATTTAATTTTCCCTATTACCTTATAAGAGGGTTACTCCTGAGTAGTCAGGGTCTTTCCCCTTCCCAATGTACTAGGGATTGAACCCAGGGGTTTCATCCCCACCTTGAACTTGTTGATCCTCCTGCCTCTGTTGCTGGTTTTTGTTTGTTTATTTGTTTGAGAAAGAGGTCTGCTGTRTTGCTCAGACTGTCCTTGACCTTCTGGGCTCAGTGGATCCTCCTGCCCCAGCTTTCTGAGTAGSTGGGACTACCATTATTGTGCCTGGTATAGTAGTCAKGATCTTAATGCATTAATATGAATCATATAATTACTATATTCAGTCTAGAACAGGGGTTGGCAAACTTTTTCTATAAAGGTCACTTCGTAAGTATCTCAAGCTTTTCAGGCCATATGGTCTCCTATTGCCACTGTTTAATTCTGTCGTTATAGTGTGAAAGCAATGCAGACAAGATGTAAATAAATCAACCTGGATGTGTTCCAATAAAACTTTATTTATGGACACTAAAATTTGAATTTCATATAATTTTCTTGTGTCATAAATGCTATTCTTCTTTTGATTTTTTTTTTTTTTTTTTTTTGGTCGCGGAAATTGAACTCAGGGGCACTCAACGACTGAGCCACATCCCCAGCCCGATTTTGTATTTTCTTTAGAGACAGGGTCTTGCTGTGTTGCTTGGTGTCTTGCCATTGCTGAGTCTGGCTTTGAACTTATGATCCTCCTGTCTCAGCCTCCCTATCTGCTGGGATTACAGACATGCACCACTGCGCCCAGCTCTTCTTTTGATTTTTTAATAATGGCCCCAAATCCAGAAGAATCTGAAACACTTCTGCTCCCAAGTATTTAAACACTTCTGACCCCAAGTATTATTTAAACCATTTAAAGATATAAAAATCATCTTGGCCAGATGACAACAGACAGAAAGCCAGATTTGATCCTTGGGTTGCAACTTTTTGGTCCCTAATCTAGAAGATACCACAAAATGATTATGTTATTCATTCATTTCCCTGTCTCCAAACTAGTTTATGCCTAAATCATCCCAGGTCAAAAGACTGCTACCGTACTTTTAAAGACATGAAAATATGATAGCCTGTATCTCACACCCCTTGTGCTGGAGACTGAACTCAGGGGTGCTCTACCACTGAGCTTCATACATCCCCAGCCCTTTTTTATTTCTTATTTTGATACAGGGTCTTGCTAAGTTGCTGAGGCTGGCTTCAACCTTGCAATCCCCCTTGCCTCAGCTTCCCAAGTCGCTGGAATTAGAGGTATGGGTCACAGCACCTGGTTCATAGCCTGTATTAAAAAACTGTTTTGACACCCCACAGCCCCAATTAAGACAAATGAAGAGTAATGTGAATGTGCKTTAAAAAACCTTTAAAGTGCTGTAGCAAGCTAAGTATTATTATTATTGTTATTATTCTATTAACAAGTTCTTTCTTATGGCTAGCCTAATTTACTCATGCTAAATTTTTTTTTGCATCTTATCCTCAGTAGAAACACAGCAGATAGATATTTCCCGTTCTCAGAATGGCATCTGAATAGAGCTGTCTACCTTTGGGCTAAATGCCATTCAAATTGCTTTAGCTTTTACTCTTAATTTTGATTTTCTAAGTGATTCATCATYTTTGTGGTTCTTATTTCTCTCTAGATTCTTCTAGAAGAACCGGCACAATATAACTGATAGAAATAAGTGTACTTAATGCCATTTGATGATGATTAAAAAAACCAACCTCTATAGGAATTGGTAGTTAAGGTGGTTGCCCAATTCTTTTTATTCTGTTCTGCTGCTTCCCAGTGACAGCGGCATACTAAACATGGGTGGGCTCCGAGTATTTGCATATATTCTGGGAACAGACAATGACACATGTGTCAGATCACAAGGTCTGAATCTTTTGTGATTCGTACAGCCAGGATGCTGATACCAACAGCAAAGCCCAGCTCTGTGGACCATCTCTTTCCTGCCCCTCCTTCTCCCTTTGAGTCCTACTATCCAGCTCCTGACCCGAGCTGCCCCTGCTTCGCTGACAATATCAGACAAGATCACAGCCGTAGGCAGTACAGCTGCTGGCAGAACCTGGTGGCCCCCTCCGCAGCTGCTGCTTCCTGTGTCTGCGAAGTGTCTGGCTTGTCAGCCACATCCCCTCCCTGGAGCAGTCTTTGTTAACCAATTCCACCTCAGCCCACTGAGCGGAAGATGAAACACAGAGAGCGCCTCCAAAAACCAACAAAGACAGCAGCCATTACCAAGTCCCTTCCCCAAGGTGACTCTGAGACCTGGCTTACCTGGCACTTTTAACCAAGCCAGGGGAACGCTGGAGCTTGGGATGGGAGGTGRAAGATGAAGGGAGAGTTGTCTTCCCCTACCAGTTCCTCCCACTACCACCCTGCACCCTGTCCCGCACTAGAAACCCATGGAAATCCCTGATTTCCAGCTCCGTATGTCACATCATAGGTGTTAGTGAGGCCACCGAAGAGTCAATAAGGCCCTTGGGAGGAATCTTCAATGACCTCTGGGAGGAAGGTACAGTTCATACCTAATGCTCCCAACACAGCCSCTGGGCATTCTGGGAGGTGGGAGCTACAAAATTTCTAGGGTTCCCTGGCAACCTGGGCTGGCTTCAAATCCTCCTTTCCAGGCCAGCCCTGGCCAATCATTTCCTGGTCATTTTTTCTTCCCCGAAGATGTCTTTGTCCCTACTCACCCTTTCCTTCCCAAACTTTGTAACCTGGGTCTGAGCACAAAAAGAAGAGGGGAGGCCTGGATCACATGAGTGAGAAACGGATGCAGAACAAGTAGTCTATTTATTGGGATCTAGGAAAAGCCATTAAGAAAATAAGCACTTAAATGATTTTCAATCTGCCCATGGAAGTCATCTGTCTTCATACTGGGGGGAAAAGGCTYGTTCTCCCATCCTGGTTTTGATTGACTGATTTCCAATTCTCTGAGCATTTCCCATAGGAGCCTCTCACCTATCTCCCATAATGACAGGCCTTTGCATTTCCAGGCAGTGTTTTACATTTATTTCCGATTTGCTCATAATGGTCAAAAATCTCTCTCCAATCCAAGGCATTTCTCCAGCAGCGCACGGTTTCCCTCAGGCCAAATAGCTCAGCTGTGATCCACGGAAAATGAGAATTTCCCAAATGCGTCTTCGGACTAGGGGAGGGTCCGGCATCACAAATTCAGATGGAAAATTTCCCACTGTTAGATCAATATCTGGGCTAAGAAATAAATGCCACAGGGGCAGAGAGCTGGAGCAAAATGATTACAATCGGCACAATTACATTCACCGGCAGAATCAGCTTGCTGATTACTCCTAGGGATGGGGAGCTCCCCCCTTCGTCCACCGCAGGACAGCTTGGGAATTAGAACATCACTCAGCATTTCATAATTCGACAGATTTGCCCGTTGTTTTGGCATGAGTTCATTTTTCCTATAGAGTACGTCCCTGTAAGAGTTCTTATTTCAAAGAAAGAAAGAAGATGGAAAGAAGGAAGGCAGGAGGGAAAGAAGGGTGAAAAGAGGGAAAGTAAATTTCAGACTATACGAGAGATCAAGGCTGCTATATGGCGGGTAGGAGTTGGAATATGCTGCTGTGGAGTTTCCAAGCCAGAGATCTGACGTTATATCTGCATAGGTGAGGTGTAAGCCAGGTCTTTCCCAGAAGGCTACCCAGCCAAGACCTCATCAGGGAAACAGGGAACAAGTACATACACCAGGGGTTGGGGGGTATAGCTCAGTGGTAGAGCACGTGCTTAGCATGTGTAGAGACCTGGGTTCAATCCTAGCACTGCAAAAACAAAACAAAACAGAAAACCCACGTGGGTGACTTTTTTTTTTTTTTTTTTTTCCTGCAGTGCTGTGGGTTGGATGCAGGGCCTCACACATGCTAGGCAAGTGCCACTGAGCTAATCTCCTGGGTGGCTTTCTTGTTAACCAAAAAGTTTACTAGGCAACTTTCATTACCTAAAAACCAATCTGAAGTCCTTTGGGAACYACAGAACAGAGGCTGTCTCCCTGGCTGGTGGGGATTTCTACAGCGTCTTTCCTCTGCTGAGTTCTGAAGAGGCAGTAGCTGGCGTTGCTATCTCACCAGTGGTGAATGCCGGGTAGGCGGGGGCCATGGCAAATGGATTGGGCACGCTGCGCAGCTCTGTGTACTGACACCGGCCCCCGGGCCTGCTGTGTCCCTACCCCCTCCCAATCTTCTCTTTAATCCCCCCAACCAGATAATGTGGGATTTGGAAGCATGTAATATCCATGAGACTCCATTATAGGCTATTACGAGCTTTATACGCAGAACCTGGGGGATGTACCAGGATGCTGCTGGTCAGTGTGGCTGCCGAAATTGAGAGGGACCATTCCCAAGGGCCCAGGGGGACCATCCCATTGTTTAAACAGTACCCCCCCACACCCCTCCCACAGAGAGCTCTAGCTTCTTTTGATAGAGAGGCAGGAAACATTTAAAGAGAAACTGCTTTCACTCCCTTACAGAGTAAAAAGGACAGAAGGAGGTATAGGGGAAAACAAAATCAGAGAATCGTTGAATTTATTGCTAGAGCCCAGAGAGACCCATCCACGGGGGGTTTGTGCATGAAAGCACTGTTGGCATTTGGGGTGGGATCTTCTCAAGCATTGCAGATTTAGGGTCCTTGAACTCTGCTCACTAAATATGAATGGGAACTCCAGCTATGTGACAAATGTAAATATGGCCCATGCTATTTCCATTTGTCCCTGGGTAGAAGAGGGATATTATCCTGGTGTGGAACCACCAAAGTTCCAACAGGCGTATGTCACAGAGGAGGAATCTGGGCCTGGACAGGTAAGTCTCCAGATCAAGGTCATATCAAGGTGACACCAGGGTTAGAAGCAGAGCCAGATCTCTCAACATAGGACCTTTTCCACAAAACAAGTAGCTTCTGAGAAGGAACTAAAACACAAACAGGGACTAGGGTTGTGGCTCAGCGGTAGAGCTCTCACCTAGCATGTGTGAGGCCCTGGGTTCGATCCTCAGCACCACATAAAAATAAATAAATAAAATAAAGGTATTGTGTCCAACTACAACTAAAAAATAAATATTAAAAAAAACCCAAAAGACAAACAGACACACAGGAAGAGACAAAAATATATGATGAGAAAAGGGAAGAGGAGAAGGAACAGCAGGGTGGGAGAGAAACAGCAAAGAGAGATCAACATAGAGAGTGGTTCAGGGGATGGGAGGAAGGGGAAGAAATCTTATCAAACTGATTGCACATCTACCATTTTCAAGGGATGGAAGATGAAAGAGAACTTAGGATCTCTGCTCTCTCAAGGGCAGGATGAAGGGACAAGCAAAAAAATAGTGAATGCCAATGGCACAGGCTTGGGAATGGGCTGAAAACCAGGACTCTGATGACCAAATCTTCTCCTGCTCTTGAACGTGAGGCTGTGACTCGCTTTCACTGGGGAAACCTGTTGAAGAATGAATGTGAAGGTCCTTGATACCTACCTTCACCCAAATAGCCTTGTCTTTTCTCAAACAGGCAGACTCAACTACTGCTGCTGGCATTGAAGGAGAATCCAGAACTAAAGACAATGCAGGCCACTCTGTCAAGGCACGGGATAGAACACGAGTATCTTTCATCTGGAGAACTAAAGCAACGTTTCCCAAATATTCAGTTCACCAGGGGAGAAGTAGGGCTCTTGGACAAGTCCGGAGGTGTCCTCTATGCCGACAAGGCCCTCAGGGTCCTCCAGGTGACAATGTGTAGCATTGGGACAATCCAACTTCCTGCTCTGGGTATCCTGGGTGTCAACCATCCAGCCTCAGACCCCCTTCTGGGTGAGGGCCTTTGCCCTGCTGGCTTTGATCTTGACTTTTGGGACAGGGCATTTGTATATACCCTGCTGGCGCTGTCAACCTGGGAGAGGAGGTCTAGATTCTGGCCCCTCTTGGCTGCCCTAACTGAAGGGCTCTTTGTTCACCAGGGTGAGCCACCTACACAACTAATTCACCTTTTCCTGCTCTGTCTTGTCAGGAAGCGATTCGCCATCTAGGAGGCACAGTGCAGGATGGGGAGAAGGTGGTGGAGATAAGACCCGGGCAACCAGTCACGGTGAAAACCACTTCTGGGAGCTACCAAGCCAAGAGCGTGATCATTACTGCAGGTCCTTGGACCAACCAGCTCCTCCGTCCCCTGGGAATTGAGTTACCTCTCCAGGTAGGAGAAACCGGAAGACTGAGAATCAGTGCTTGAGAGAAGAAGCCTTGGACTGGGCGTGTAGCTCAGTGGTAGAGTGTTTGCCTAGCACGTGCAAGGCCCCAGGTTTAGTTCCCCAGTACTGTAAACAAACAAAAAAATTGGGTAAGACAAGGACAGATGTATGGAAGGGTGCAGGACCCCAGAAGAGACTGCTCTCACTGACAACAGTGTTTCATGGTTTTCTGCTTTTCTCACACTCTTACTCCCCTGCCTCAAGACACTGCGGATCAATGTGTGTTACTGGCGAGAGAAAGTTCCTGGGAGCTACAGCGTGTCCAAAGCCTTTCCATGCTTCCTGTGCCTCGACCTGGCTCCCCACCACATCTATGGGCTGCCTGCGGGAGAGTACCCAGGGCTGATGAAGGTGAGCAGAGAGGTCAGGAGAGGACAGCTCCGTACCCATACAGATCTGGGGCAGCTGCTCTAACTTGCCCCTTCACAGTCTCCCCCAGGTCCCAGTGGACAGCAGCAGGAATCTACTTCATTACTATTTGCTGTTTGCAGCATGAGATCCTCAGCTGCCTAGAGACCCAAGCCAAGGGAGCTTTTTCCTTGCAATCATAGGGTGGGTGCAGGGATGGACACCAGGCAACCTCATGTGGCCACACTGTATATGTCATGATGGATGGGGACATCCTGTGTCCACGCCTTCTCCTTGCTGGTTGGTGCATGTGGAAGGCCAGCATCACCGCCCACACTGCTCTGATGGGGGCCAGGTCTGCTATCACCATGGCAACAGTGTGGACCCTGAGGAGCGGGACTGCCCCACAGCCTTCTCAGACATCCAAGACGTCCAGATCCTGTGCCGCTTTGTCAGAGACCACTTACCTGGCCTGAGGCCGGAGCCCGACATCATGGAGCATTGCATGTACACGGTAAGGGGACTGGTGGTCTCGCCAGGTCTGTTCTGGCTCTGGAGAACAGGGGAAGGAGACCGATAGACCTTGTGCTGGCCAGGCCTGACTCCATTTGACCCTTGACACAGTGCTTCAAACAAGTGAGCTAATTTCTGGGGGTTGGTTCACCTCCAGGAGAAAGGGCCTGTTAGGGTTTATTTGTATATATATATATTTTTTCATTAGGCAACTAGTTTTTGCCTGGTAGTCCTTCATTATATTTCCCAGAAGAGTTCTAAAAGATTTTTGTGGCAAGATGCTCCAGTTGAGCAGGACTTTGGGGACAAAGAAAAGAGACAGATGTCACCAGAGCCGGAGGCATCTTGACTAAAGTTAGTTTACAAAGATGATCTGAGCACCTACTGTGTTCATAGCTCAATAGGAGGAGAGAGACAGATGGATGAATGAGGAAGACTGGCACACCCAGAGTGGAGACGGGGCCCCCAGGAAGCATGCATGTGCCCCAGCTCGTTCTTTCTGGAAAGAAATCCAGCCTAGTTCCTTCCCGTCAGAGCCTGTAGTTCCTCCTCCCCATCCTCAAAAGAGACGAGTGTGTTGTTTCTTTCTAGAACACCCCTGATAAGAATTTTATTCTCGATCGCCACCCGAAGTATGACAACATTGTCATTGGTGCTGGATTCTCTGGTGAGCATGAGGATCAGGGGAAGGGGTGCCCACAAGCTGACCTAYCTCAGTGCCAGGAAAAATGGTATTTTCTACCCTCCTAGCTGCCCACACAGGGCTAAAATCCGGGACATTGAATGTATAAGGAGGCTGGGTAGGCAGAAAATGGGTACCCAGGGCGGGAGGTGATTTCTGGCTTTGGGGTAAGACCAAGAGGAAAAGTAGCCCTCTCTGGGTAAGTGGGGAACATCTCCAGAGCCCAAACTCTGGGTCCCTGAGGATGCTTGACAATCTGCTCTCCTCCTTCTAGGGCATGGATTCAAGCTGTCCCCTGTTGTGGGGAAGATTCTGTATGAATTAAGCATGAAATTAACACCGTCCTATGATCTGACACCTTTTCGAATCAGCCGCTTCTCTGGCCTGGGCAAAGCCCATCTTTGACCCCTGACCACCAGCCCCCTTCTGTGCACAGGAGCCCTCTGCTGGGGAGGACTTCTCAGATGGAAGAAAGGCCCTAGGATATCATTTTAAACTCCTGCTTCTCTTGAAATCCCTGCAAACACCAAGTAATTGAGTCTGCCTCTTTCTCTAGACAGCTCCCCAATTTCAATGACCTTCTCTCTCCCTCCTGGAAAGCCAATTAGATGTTCCATCATCTCAGAGTAGCAAGGACTTTGGGACTGGCTCAGGAGACCAAAGCGGTGGTTAAAAAAAAATTCTCTTTATTGGGGACATTCAATGAACATGGGGTGGATTTGGCTAAATTTGCCCAGGGGAGGGTAAACAAAAGACCTAGATCACTAATGCCCTTGGGGTTCCTTTTCCTAAAACTAGAGTCATCCTCCATCAAAAAATTCCCATACCATCTCACCCTAGCTGCACAATAAATGCTTCCTGAAAAAGATTTGTTGAACAAACAAATAATTGCATTGCATAAAAGTCTGCGGTGGGCTTTCTTTTCCATATGACCTTATTTCCCACAGGCTCTAATTGTCTAAATTAGCACCATAGAATCCATTACCCTAGGCATCCACAGAATCTCTATCCCCCTCCACGCTCTCTCAGCACCCCCTTTCTTTGAATTCTTTGTCTCGTCCTCATCCTCTCTCTAGATCTGTAAAGATGCTCAGTTCCCCAGTCTCTCATTAAGGTGTATTGTCAGGTCCTTATGAAGATGGAACTGTTATACCAGAAAGAAGGAGCGAGACACACTCGCTTAGAAACCCTGTTCAATGTTTGAATGTTAAATGTGCCATTTTATTATCATTAGCATTGCTCCCACTTAATGAAACAGCATCAGCACCGAGGCGGCTGGCCTCCTTGCACTAATTGCTTCAGAAGGGAACGGGCTCATAATGACCCCAGGGTGGCTGGAGGGTTAAAGGGTATAAACAGGGACTCAGGCAAGGCTTGGATGCACTCAGGTGAAACCCAAGCAGGGGGACCCCACCCCCACCCCGATCGGTCCAGTTCCATCCTGGAGAACAGGATTTTAAATGCTTTGGAGAGAGGAAAGCTGGAGCTGGATGGGGTAGATATGTTAGGAGGAGTCACTGTGTGGGAAAGAATGGGCAATAGGAACAGGAGGCAAAATATTCCCAAGGAAAATACAACGCAGGCAATTGCTCTTAACTGCCTCAGTCCTTAAAGGTCTAGGCACATGTATTAGCATTTCTCCAGTGAGATATAAAAGCCAGTGACCCTGTCAACTCCATGCCAAAACTGCTTTTTGGGGTGATCTCAGGTGGTTCTCTGAACCTCAGCCTCTGTCAAGTGGGAATAATAATACTGACCATTGCTATAGGGGCAGGGGAGTGTGTCAAAAAGGATCATTCATTCATTCAATATACGGATAGTTATTTATCTTCTACTGTGTAACAGGCAGTGTACTAAGCAATGTGGATGTATCACTAAATGAAACAGAGACAAATTGCTGTTCTGAAACAATGTGTTTGTTCCTCAAAAAATAGAACTACCATATGATCCAGCAATTCTACTTCTGGGTGTATACTCAAAAGAATTGAAAACAAGGTCTTGAAAAATTATTATTATTATTTTTTTAAGTAAACTCAAGGGCACTCTACTACTGAGCTACATCCCCACCACTTTTTTTTCCTTTCTTTTTTAAGTGTAGATGGACACAATACCTTTACTTTTATTTATTTATTTTTATGTGGTGCTGAGGATTGAACCCAGTGCTAGGCAAGCGCTCTACCACTGAGCCACAAACCCAGCCCCCCAGCTCTTTTTCATTTTGAGACAAGGCCTCATTAAGTTGCCCAGGCTGGCCTCTAACTTGCAATTCTCCTGCCTCAGCTTCCAAAGTAGCTGGGATTTCAGGCGCGCGCCATGATTTCCTGCTCAAAAGATTATTTTATACACCCATGTGTAGAACAGTATTATTCACAATGGCCAAGAAGTGGAAACAACCTAGATGTCCATTGATAGATGAATGAAAAACATGTAGTATGTGCATACAACAGGATACTATTCAGCATCAAAAAGGAAGACAATTGTGATAGATGCTACAATATGAATGAAACTCAAAGACATTGTGTTAAGTGAAATAAGCCAGACACCAAAGGACAGACAGGGCTGGGGTTGTGGCTCAGTGGAAGAGGGCTTCCTTGCATGTGTGAGGCACTGGGTTCTATTCTCAGCACTGAATATAAATAAATGATTAAAATAAAGGTCCATCAACAACTAAAAAAATATTAAAAAAAGAAAAGGATGGACACTATACTATTCTACTTTATACCAGTACGGTGGTCACATTCATAGAAACAGAGGGTATCATGGTGGTTGCAGGGGCTGAGAGGAGGAGGAAATGGGGTTTTGTTTATGGGTGCAGAGTTTCAGTTTTGCAAGGTGGAAAGCATTCTGGAGAGCAGTTGCACAATAATGTGAATAGACTTAATGCCACTGAACTATAGATACCTAAAAATGGCCAAGACGGTACATTTTATGTTATGTGTATTTGACCATAATTGTAAAAATTCCTATTTTAATAGAGCTTGCAGTTCAGTAAGAAGACATGAAAGCAATACATATTGTAAATTATGTCATATATTAAAAAGTGATCATTGCTTTGGGGTAAAACAGAGCAGGGTGAGGACAGGGAGTGCTGGGGGGATTCTGACCTTTTCAGTGGGTGGTTAGGGTGAGTCCCACTGGTGCGGGGAAGGGGAAGGCGTTTGCAGTGCTGGGGCTGGAACCCATTGTCTTGCGTGTGATAGGCAAGTTCTTTACCACTGAGCTACACCCAGGGCCTAAGGGAGGGCTCTGAGAAGATTTGGAGGAGGAGAATGTGTGAGCCATGGGGGTCTCTGCAGGCAAGTAAAAGAATGTCAAGAGTTGTATTGAGGGGGAGAGAGAAAGGAGATATGGAGAGAGCCCCAGATGTGCTCCTAGCAGCTGTCAAGCTGACCAAGTCGGGGAGAGAGGGTGTTAGGAATGTCTCCTCTTGCTCCTGCTGCCTGTGGCTCTCTCTGCCTCTTCTGTTGGTGCCATCCTCCTCCCCCAGCCAGCTGCAGCTCCCCTTCCAAAATATCCAGCCTTATTCAGCTTGTCGGTGACAGCTAAAGGAGGGGACCAATGTCTTGTGGAGGTTGAGAAAGGACAAATGGGGGAGGCTACCAAGCCCTGTTGGAGCTGGTGAAATCTTCCGCAAGAGAGTCCTGTGTGTGTGTGTGTTGGAGACAGCAGAGAGAGGGTGGGCGAGTGGGGTAAGTTGGGGTCAGCAAAGAAAGGAGTATGGCAAGGACCTGGAGAAGAGGAGACTGGAAACGTGCAGATCTTCAGGGGTGCTGTGAAGTCCCCAAGTCAAAGGCAAGGGGCAGGAAGGCCCAAGTGGGAGGAAGTGGGAATTTCTTAGTGGGGATAGGATGGGATGGCAAAGGGGAGAGAGGCACTGTAGGGAATGGTTGATGGGCATAGAGGAAGGCCAAGGGCAATTCGAAAGGGGTCGGAGGACGACTTGCTGAAGGATTGGCCCAAACAGGCCACTCGGTATCGGCTCACTGCTTTCCTTCGGTCGCCGGAGGGTGGCCAGGCATTCCCTTTCAGACAGCCCCTGCCTATCTTCAAGATGGAAGGAAATCAGAATCAATCAGGCAGACAAGAAGAGACCTCTGGAAGGGCAACTGGGGTCTGCACAAGGCTGCAGGGGAGAGATAAGGGCAATGAAGAGAAAGACGCTGGTGTGGTTGCCAACCAGACCAGGGAAAACAGAGGCAGCCTAAAAATAGACTGGGGTGGGGAGGGAGGAGAGCCAGTCCCCAAAAGGAGGGAGAGCCGAGGCAATCGATGCCATCGCTACTCTGACCCAATTCTTCATCTCTCAGCCTCACCAAACTGACAAATGAGGGCTTGATGGGGAACAAGGGAAAGATTGGCAGAGAGGGAGGAGAGTCTGGGGGAAAGCAATCTGGGTCCTGAAGCTAGGCGATTGTGGGATACAAATCAGTAGCCATAGTGTGGAAGAGAGGAGATACTTGGTGTGGTTAATAGTAGCTCAACCCTCCCCAGAGGGTGGTATCCTGGAACAGGTTTCAGAGCTTAACGGATGTGAGTTTTACTTGGAAGAAGTTCAATGATCTAGAAAGGTTTAAGGAGGCAAACCAGGAAGTGTCAGCCTGGACCCAGTAGGCTGGAAAGAAACTGGAGGCCTGCTTTTCACTTCTCAGGGAGAAGTGAATTTAAAGGGAATTTGGTTATTTCAGTGCAGTAAGAGGGATTGAGGTTAGACTTCAGGAAATCCATCCCATTGGGCAGATATGTGAGATATTAAAACAGGTCCGCAAGTGCTCGTAGGGTATCCTTTCCTTCTAAACAATGAGAAGAAGCCCACCTGCTTGAGTCTACAGAGGGCTCCCCACAAAACCTTTGGAAGACTGTGGACTACAGAGGGGAGGGGGGTCTAGGAATCTTATTTCCCTGGTGGTAGGGTAACAAATGGGTATTTGGGCTCAGGTTGTAGGGAGAGGGAAGCACAAGGTGGCCTGGATCTGTCTGTCCTGGAGGCAGCAGGGACAGGGGGCAGGATTCTAACCTGCAGGACCCAATGGCATTTACATAACTTTGAATAATGAATAAGCCCAGCTCTGGGGTTCCTGGTCCGCACTGCTCATCTGCATCTTTATTAAGCTTTATAAATGATTCAGCTCCCTGCACCGCCCCCCCCACCCCCAGCCCTGCCCAGCCTGCCCCAAGCATCAGGGTAGTTGATTGCTCATTATTTTAGACTAGATTTGTTTCACCAACATTCAGTGAGGCATGGAGTGGGGGACACAGGAGGGAGGAACATATCCAGAAGGCGAGTGGGGATGGGGGGGTAGAAGAATGGAGGACAGGCATGGCTGCGGTGGGTAGTGGGCTCTCTGCTGGGAGCACTAAGGGTGCAGGCGTCATTCCCCAACATGTTCCTGGGGCCAACATTTTAAGGAGAGACCGGTTTCTTAGATTCCCCCAAATGTGCTGGATTCAAATCCCCGGTTTCCCTTATATCTGCTGCCAAGCCCCCGGCAGGCCCCTCGCTCAGCTCCAGCTCCTCACACAGCCACTTGAGCAGCCATGGAGTAGAGCCCCCGGGGAAGTTCTCACTTTTTCCTGAGGCAGGAATTTTGCTATTTTCACGGAAAAAAAAAAAAAATCTGCTATGCTTGCAAGGCAAGAACAAGCACTAGGCATATTAGGGGAGAAAGAGAAAGAACAGGCACAAGGTATGTGAATGCATAGGGGAAAGGACTCAAAAAAGGACCCGAAGATGCAGAGCTCTCAGCTTGTCCGAAGAGGCATCTTAGTGCCAA